CCACTACTCTAAATGACTATCCTTATAGACACATCTTTGTGCACATACATAAATATTTCCACAGCATAAAAATCTGAGAGCTGCATTCATTAGCCAAAGGCATTTTTACAGCTTTTGGTGCCCATTCATTGTTTGATATGATTCCAATAAGATCTTACCATTTTGTATGACCACCAGTGGGCCTGAGTGTTTCCAATTCTCTCTTAACTTATGAAATGACTCCACTCCTTTCTTGATGGTGGTGATGGTAGTGGTTTTATTTTGCTTTTAACTTTTGGAAAAATTTTCTGGTCCTCAGCGTTAGCATCTCACAGACACCAGGGAAACAGGGAACTAAATCCTTAGTTATTTGAGTATTTTGTAACAACCAGAGAAAGAACAACCAAGCACAATGGGTGGGTCACTGGTGCCTATATCTCCTAAAAGCAGGGCCCTCAGTCAGACATCAGTGCAGGGCCCAAGGTCTCTAAAGACAGTTGCAAACACATATCTTTAATCGCTGCAAATTAGGGTCTAGCCCGGGGCCTGGCCAGAAGACCTGCTTCAGTGCACACTTGCTCAGTGAATGAAAAGTTATCTGTTTATTATATCTATAGCTTCTTCAAAGTGTAAGAAAAATAATGACATTAGGGCAGCTCCTGGAATTAAGAATTTTATTTTTAAAAAAATCACCTGCCCCATAACCACGCATAGTCTTATTTTCTTAACGATTTGGCTTTTCCAGATCCGAGTGTTCCCTCGCCAGTAAACAAAGGGAAGATTTTTACGTTAACCCTATCAGGGAAAGAAAGGGCTTCCTCCTGTATGATGCTAACATCTTCCACTGAACAGAAATCTAATGCGCGATGCATTGAACAAGGACAAAATCTCCGGAGAGCAGATCCAGACAGTATGCCGATGCCGTATAGCTTGGAGCCTGTGCCAGCATTTCCATCACAAAAATCCTATAATCCAAAGCCGCAGCAAATTGAATAAGTAACTAATAATTAGGTTTTTGCCCCTCTCTTATTCCAGGAAAATAATTTAAAAATTAAATTGTACACGTAGATAGGAAGGGATTATGTCACTGGTGATGTTAATCAGTTAGGAATTTATAAACAATTCCCTATATCCCCAATCCATTTTTCTGTCCTTATCTGAATGGCAGCAGTTTTCACTGTGGTGGTGGTGTTCTTAGGGGGAAAAAAAAGCTTTTTCCTAAGAGTCTTAGAATCATAAATTATCAGAGGAAAAAGATGCTACAAATCATCTAATTTGAAAAATCACGCTAATTTAAAAAAAAAGGAAACTGTACCTCAGAGATGTTATAAATGGCAGAACTCAAGTGTATGGAAATAATGACTTAATTCCATCTCCCCTCAAATTCTAAGATAGCTTCGTTTTTATTTATATATAACTGCCTTTTATTAGAGGAATATGAAGGTATGAAATCCACTGGGCATTTGCCCTTAGCAAGCAGAACCTTGTAATGTCGATTTATGTTAGGTAAAATCTGACAGAAAAGCAAAGCTAGCCTTTTCCATAAATTTAGATGTCATTTAGATATTCAGAGACAACACGACTCCATCTTGGAGCTGAACGGAGTTTAAGTATTTTCCAGTACAACTTCTTTCCCACATGAGGTGACCAAAGACCCCAAAGGTTGTGACATATAAAGCCACCCAATTAGAAAAGCAGAGCCAGTATTTTATCATTGCTGGCTCAGGGGCCTTTCCGCCATATCAAGCTGGATTTTCTATGGGATAGTCTGGTACAGCATCTGGTATAACTTAGAAAATCTTAGGTATTATAAAATTTCCACTCATGACCCATTCTGTTTCAAAGGCTATGCACTGTGGCCCTATTCTTTCGGTCACCTTCCACAGTTTAAGAGTAATCTTTTCTCTCAAAGTCTAGTTGGTCCATCGATTTCAAAAGACAAAACAAAAATAGCACAGGTCTGGCCCTTATTGTACAAATGTACAAGTACTGAAAAGCCAAATAATGCTGCAGACACAGGTATTTCTGTCACTAATGATCAGGTGAAACTTGTTTTTTTTCCTCCCCTTCTTGCTGACTCTGGCCACTTGTCAGAATCTTTTTGGCCATACTGCACTGACTGAGAACTGGGTTTACCCCCAGCTCATCCAACTGGGGGTTAACATGCTTCCTAGATTGGGGGAGTCCCTTGGTGAGCCCCTCAGCATCCTCCTGGGCCACCATCTGTGAGACTTCAGTTACGCAATGTGCCTCTTTGGGCCTCCAGGTGCTCACGATAAGCTGTCAGTGTTTTCTCCAGCCCTACAATCATACGGTCTATGATTTAGGTGATAGTTATCTTCATAAAGGGGAAGGTGGGGGTGAACTGAGACGGCCTCTTGATACTGCATTTGAGTCCGGAACCTTCTTTCTCTCTCACCAGCCAAGCCAGTCTGCCTGTGGGGGTTGAATCACATTTTAGAGTGGGTGGGAGCATGTTTCAGTGCAAAGAACTGCATGATCCCCGAGAACAACTGGAAAGGCCGGAGAGAGAGAGACGGGCAAAAGACAGAAAAAGCAGAGATGTCAGGAACAAAGCAGGGAATGTGGGAGGAAGCGCTGACTCGCTGCCTCCTCTGAGATAAAATGCCCTTTACGGCGCTGGCTCAATCCTAGATTTTATCCCACCAGGCCAAACATTAGGGAGGTCCCGTAAATGCTGGATACATTGCTATCGATAAGTACTCTGCCACTCCATCACACCGATCTGGGGCAGCTTTGTAACGAGGGTTTGCTACAGCCTACCCGAAGCATGTGGCACACAGCAAAACCATCGAGATCCCTTCTGGGCGCTGTCCTGAAAGACCCGTCCAAATTATGGTCTTGACCTCCACGGCAGCGGGGCACACACATAACTCTGAAACCAGCACCTGGAGCTAGCTTCATCAACGTTACTTCCCAGCTACTGGCAAACTAGGCCAGCCTTTGTCCGCCTCCTCATCCTATTATTTAGATCCCAGCACCGAACAACTCTAGGCGGTACCCTTCACATCTGGGGTCACCGTAAGTCTGTGCATTTATTATGACAATCTTCTGGCAGGTGACCATGCAGGTTTTGAAGAAAGGGCAGCCAAGAGGTCATGCGGACTAGTGTCAGAGTTGCCCATTCCAAACCGACATAAAAGCACATGACCAGCACCCAGAAGAACCACAAACTTAATGTTTATGTTACCGAGTTTATGTTACGGAGGCTCTTACTAACTAAAATGTGGAGATGTCACCAAAGCTCTAATCCGGGTCCCAAGATCTTGCGCTATTGTTATCAAGATGACAGACAACCTCATGGGGCGCCTGGGTGGCTCAGTCGGTTGGGCATCCGACTTCGGCGCAGGTCATGATCTCATGGTTTGTGAGTTCGAGCCCCGCGTCGGGCTCTGTGCTGACGCTTTGGATTCTGTGTCTCCTTCTCTCTCTGCCCCTCCCCAACTTGTGCTCTATGTCTCTATGTCTCTCAAAAAATAAATAAATGTTAAAAAAAAATGACCGACAACCTCAAATAAATAAAAATACCAATAAAATGTGAGACCTCGTAAGAACAAAAGCCCATGTTCCAGCAGTGGTCATCTACTGAAATTCTATTAGTAGTCTGGAAAATCTCCAGAAGGCAATAACCTCCCCCACAGGCTCACTGTAGGCTTCTAGAGAGCTCTGGCAAGCCTCAGAGTTGACGATAACCTTCCTTGGGGTGGTACTATACGCAGAAAGGGGATGTTCGATCCAGAACCCAAAACACCGGTAAACATAATGTTCACAGATATGACACAAATCTTGAGCATTCCAGAAGGTATGATGGAGAACTAGATCACCAGTGAAGATAAGAAATGAGTTCCCATCTGTGCTTTATCTAAATAGGTCACACTGAATGACTCCTTGTAGTGACAAAATGTTAATGATTTTTCCTCAGTCTCAAAAACTGGACTATATTTCTATGTTATCTTTTTTAAAATCAGGTTTTTAAAAATCTAGGTGTAATTCACATCGAGTAAATTTCCTTTTAGTGCACAATTCTGTGGGTTGGAAAAACTCATAAAATCTGTAACCACCACCATCATCAAGATGTGAGACAATTTCATCACCCCAAAAATCCCCTCATGCTTATTTACAGCAACCCCTATTTCTAGCCTGACAACCAATATTTGATAAAACTGGACTGTACCATAATACAAATATCAGCACTGCTTAGACTTTCCTTTAAATATTTACCATATTTCACCGACCCAAAACAGACAGACTGAAAGGCAGGCAGGCACACACACACACCCTAGATTTGAACACTATGACAGTAGGATATGTCCTACAATCAATGGCATTTTGCTATTTTAACTGGTAAAAACTTTTTCTTTTGGAGATACATAAAACGATGTCTTATAATCTACAGTGCTTTTTAAAAAACTAAGTGAAGTGTAATAGTAAGTTCTTTATTTTTCAACATTCATTCAATACTTACTATGTGTGAAGCCTTCTACTAGACACTGAAAACAGAAAAATGAAAACGTGGTCCTCAAAACTATCACTTGAGATATATGTTATCAATTATAATATATGATAATGTCTATAGCAAAAGGTTATCCACCTACTAAGTAAAATTATCTCTAAATTAGACACTCTTCTTCTTTCAGGCAAAATTCTCCCCCAACTCAGATCCTTCCGTGGACACAGGAAATAAGGATGAAGGTAGTACCATTCGGCTTCACTCTGCCCATTCTAGGAATGAGTTATTGCCACGCCATGTGACGTATTGCCTAGGAACAATCCAATTATTTCTTCCATAATACACTGTTGTGGTAGGGAAGCCTCATTTCAGTGTTCAACAGCTGCCAGGCTTTTAGGATAACATCAGAAGACAAGTCACTCAAAATAACTCAATCTGCAAGAGGCAGATGCCCCAAATCTTTCACAGACATGCTTCAAAGTCCCCAAATTCTTCCCCGGGCAATTTTTAAAGGGGAGTGTAGAGAAGAAAAGTTAGTGAGTGCCCTTACCTGATTCTTGAAAGTGTTCTTCATTTGACAGAGTTCTAGACAAGATAAGTATTAATGCTTCTTTAAATTGGTCAAAATGCACCTAAAAATAAACAATTAAAAATGAGTTCAAAAGAGTTTCCACAGCCTTAAGGACGCAAATCCATCTTCAAGGTACCAGAACCGTTTGTTAGCATCCTGACAGCCTTGAAGTGAGTCACAAACAGCTTTTGTTCTCTTTTCTTCATTTCTCTGAAGCACTGAAGGGAAAAGTGGGCTGATCATTTCTGACACCCCCGGGTCGTAAACCCTAACATCAACATCAATATTTATTCAACCCCGAGGGGTAAAGCTAGATAGCAAAACCCTCTTTATACACTCAGAAAAAGATACGTTTTGAACTCAACTCCTTTTATTTTTCTGAACAAGACCACAACAGAAAGATGTTAGGTTAGACATTAGGAAAAACTTCCCAAGTAAATGATCCATTGTAACAATGCCCCAAAGATGCTTTCATCCCTGAAGACATTCTAGAAGAGGGTGAGCTATCATCTGAGGGTGACTTGAATACAGTCTTGCCTGAGGCAGGTATATAGTATTTATCTCCTAAGGCCCCTGTGACTCCATAAACAAATAGAAATCAATAGCAAACCCAAAGAATAAAAGAACCTTGGGAAGCTTTGTCTTGAATTCTTAAAAATACAATTACCTTGATAGAAGGATGAAAGAACATGAGTTTTATTTAAGTAAATATTCAGTTAGAATTGGGGAAATACTTTGGTTAAAGGGGTAAAACAGTTTTCTTGATGGCCAAGTGTATTCTTCCATAATTTAAATTTATGTGACCTCACCGTGGGGTAGAAGGGAAAGATGGTATTCCTTCTCACAGTAATTCTAGTTCGATGATGTGGCACCTATTAACACAGAAGCCTATACATAAATTCAAAGTTGGTAAATTTGTAATTTGTGCCGCTAAGGGTCTCTTTGGACACCGTTACAAAACATTGTCTAGAAGTTTAAATATGAGTGACAGATAAAAACCACTTGGCGAATTATACTGGGAAAAGTAGCAAACCTCATTAGTTATCTAAACAATGGAGGAAAAAATCCTATGTCTTATCTATGCAATTTACCATACTGTCCCACAGTAGGTATGATTTTTCTACCACAACCATTTTGATCACTCCAAATTACTTTCCAAAATCATCTCCCTTTAGATGGTATAGACTAAAAATCAGTATACCCTATGGAGCCAGAGCAGAAATCCGCCAAGGGAGGCAGGACATCTGCTAGAGAGCCAGGGCCGTGCAATCAATGAAAAGGTGAAGACACTGCAGAAATGTAAGCGATACTAATTAGGGTTCACAGCAGACAAATCACTGCAGAGCCTGCAGGAGGAGAAAGGGCCAGGTCCTGCTGTTGTCCCAAAGTCAGAGTACGGGCTTCAGGCACTGTGGCATCCTGGCTCCCGTTCCCAGGGGCAAGGCCATCTTCCCAAGCAGCCAGTTCAAAACCACACAGACCCAAGGGCTCTCCTGCCCATGGACATTGGCCAGGCATTTACTACTTCCTACTGGAACCATTCCTTCCTCACAGTGGGGCGGGGGGCAGGAGGAGGGTTGGGGTTCAGGCTCTGTACTGGAGCCAGCTGGGTCCAGGTTCCGACCCTGCCTCAATCACTTACTGCCTGCTGTGAACTGGCTAAATTACTATACCTCTCTGAGCTTTAGTTTGTTCATATAGAAAAATGGGGATCTCTAACAACTAAAGTTTAGGACTCATTCAGCAAATATTTATTGAGCAGCTGCTATGGGCCAGGCAATGTCCTAAGCCCTGCTGACAGAGCAGTGAACAAGAGTGACAGAGACCTTGCCGCCGTGGAGTGCATGTTCTCAGGAAATGTCACAGGGGGTCCAGGCAGCCACTGTGTGAAAAGCATTGCATGCCTTTTATGTTATTTACAGTAACACCTCCCTCACAGAGGCATTAGGAAATCAAAATGAGACTTACATAAGGGGTCTAGAACTTCCAGGGTAACTTATCAACTACTCGGTAAGTGGTAGTTAATACTCTAATAGCTATATGGGGTGACTGTTTCTCCTGCTTTACAGATAAATGGCTACATTTTCAAGCAAAGCAACTGGCCCTGAAAGTGACCGTGACAGCCAAGTGGCAGTGGCGGAGGTGACAGCAGGGATCTTGCCTCCCCGCCAGTATCTGGGCAGTTGCCCAACATCAGAGAAGCCGATCCAATTTGCTGTGCTTAGGGACCTCAGCTTGGGGTTTCTCCTCTCTTAGGACAGTGATGGGAATGACTTGAATGAAACCTTGGCCTCTCCTTGACACAGTTATGAGTTGAACAGAAAAGGGAAGTGCTTGCCTTGAGAACTTCAAGTCCTATCTACTTCACCTCTGGGTCTCTGCTGGGTCTGGGCTTTGAGAGAGGTTATTGGATCTTGTCCCTACATAGTTCAATTCAGGGAGTATGGGCCATGAAGGTCACCAGGAGTCTATGTACCTCAATTTCTCACCCTGAGAAATGACCAAGATACCTACAATCTGGACGTTGATTCTCATCAACTTCCAAGACTTTGTTACACCATATTTAAGGGATAGTTAGCCTCATACAAACAAACCGACCTTTGAGACAGTAAAACCTCATTTATATGGAGATGGCTTATCAGACAATCAAGCAGCAGACAACTGGAAAACAAAGAAGTGATGTCCAAAGCTGAGGAAGGCATGGAAAAGCCCATACACTCTGCTCACAGAAAATGCTACAGAACCAGCTCTGGAGCTATTTATTCTCACTCTACCTGATTTATTATAAGCTTATTTTCCTGCTTCCCAGACAACTATAGATTAGAAGCAGCAAATAAGACACAGGAGCACTCTGAGGTGAAGTACTAAGAGAAGTAACTACTGACATCTTGGGATTGAGTAAAGACGTTAACTATCTTTCCTCAGACAAAAATACAGTTTTTAAACTTAAAAAACCATGGGGCGCCTGGGTGGCGCAGTCGGTTGAGCGTCCGACTTCAGCCAGGTCACGATCTAGCGGTCTGGGAGTTCGAGCCCCGCGTCAGGCTCTGGGCTGATGGCTCAGAGCCTGGAGCCTGTTTCTGATTCTGTGTCTCCCTCTTTCTCTGCCCCTCCCCCGTTCTTGCTCTGTCTCTCTCTGTCCCAAAAATAAATAAATGTTAAACTTAAAAAACCTTGTCTTAAAAACTCTACCAACTGTTAGAGAAGACATACACTAAAAAACCTAATAGGCTGGGGTTATTTATTTAGTGTTGAGAAAAGTATCTATGTGCCACAAAACAAAGGCTGAGAGTATTGCTCTTATAATGTAGACAAATAACTGATAGACCAAGAAGATTTTAAATGATCAAGAATAATATTATGCTGGGGCACCTGGGTGGCTCAGTCGGCTGGGCGTCCGACTTCGGCTCAGGTCATGATCTCGCAGTTTGTGGTTTCAAGCCCCATGTTGGGCTCTGTGCTGACAGCTCGGAGCCTGGAGCCTGCTTTGGATTCTGTGCCTCCCTCTCTCTCTGCCCTTCCCCTGCTCATGCTCTGTCTCTCTCTCTCTCTCAAAAATAAACTTAAAAAAAAAAAAAAGAATAATCTTATGCTGTTTAATATCCTCTTTGACAGGGCAAAACTTTAACAAAATGTTTGCAATCCCCAAAGGTTATGTAAGACTGTTACTAAATGGGGTAAGAGATGCTGTTATCAGAAAATTGCATTAATGTAGATCCTGGATAACACTAGATGAGTGGGTGTATTATTGCAGGTTCCTTCTTTCCTGGGCATTTGGTCATTTGGATCTCACAACATCCACATGAGCCAGGTAAGGCAGGCATCTGCCCTTGGAATTGAGGCGGCAGAGCACAAAAAAGGCATGGGCCTTGCTGGTGGCCTCACGTCTTGAAGTTTTGGGGTTGCCTGGTGAACCCAGGACTTCTGACTGGAGTCATCAAAGCCTGGCAGCCCTCCTGCCCTAGACCTGCTTCACTCTCTGACCTCTCAGGGAAATCCCTAAACTGCCCCACATCAAATCCCCAACTTTACACAAAGCCAGTGTAAAACAGTGCACTGGGGCTCCAGGGGGTGAAAGGTCAGGAGGAGAATCTTGAGTGTGGGAGGGGAGAAGAGGAAAGAAGAGAGGAAAGTTGATTAGCACTTACAAGATAGAAGCTGGTGAGTGCTGTGAGAGACACAAAGACAAGCTGGAGAGACCATTTTTATGACATTTGGCTTCTCTGAGATATTCACAGGCAGAGCTTAACAGTTTCCAAAACAGACCTACTGAATCAGCCATTTTTTTTTTAAAGAAAAAGGGGCTATAAAAGACTAAACTTGATTAACTCAGAGGTTCTTCATAATCTAACAGTGTCTATCTGATGGACCTCTTCCCCACACACACACACACACACACACACACACACACACCCAGAAATCCAAAAACAAAAACGTGGCAAGCTGATCAAAACAACTGGAGCAGCCTTAAGTCTTAAACCGATCTTATTTTCCCTCCTGCCAGGGCATAGAGACACTGGACCCTCCACTTTAAATAACAGTAAATTCCACATCTTCCAAGAAGACAGTTCTCTAATAGAGGCAGGTGACTGCTATTTTCTGACAATGCTCATGAATACTGATGTGGTGGAAAAGCCCCTTAGGGCACATCCCAGAACCAAAACGTTAATAAATGCCCTCTATTGTAAAGAAATGTGCATCAGCGGGCTCACTAAGTTCAGTAACTGGAATTTGTAAGTACCATTTTTCTCTCCAAGGGAGCTTTACTATTGCATTACGTTAAAAGTTAGAAATCGTCACAAATATACAATGCAATTAAACCTCACACAGTAACAAGCCTCCAAGCCATGCTTCCCCTGGTTGGCACCCCCTCATTTGAATAATAATTGCTGCCATTCATTTTACAAGCATTCCTATATCTTGTATGCCTCAAAGGACAGTTTGCAGCAATGGGAAAATTACATGACAGACTAAAAACACACATGACATTTACACTAAATTAATGGGAAGACTAGTCAAATCTGATTTTTTTTGTCATGTGTCACCAGCACATAATAGAAATTCACATCATCTTTCCTTTCCAAATTTCATACGAATGCTTTTTTAGAAACATAATTTGCCTTTCCGACAAAAATAAAGTAAGTATCACATAAGAAAAAAACGTTACTTCAAACCGCACACACAAAAAAACGGCAACAGGAAGTAGAATAAGGAACCTAACGTTACATAAAATCATCTTACACAATCATGGAGATCAAATACATAGTTTCCACATGTATGCAGTACAAACAGACCCAGGATGAGAAACTCAAGCCAAGTGTTGAACCAAGTGATCTTATTAAATGAGACAAAGCCCCGTGTAACTATCATCACACAGAGGAGGTTCATATCTAGCAATACACAGGGAAACTGATGGAAGAACACTCAAAACATTAAATGCTAGCTGAATCGCGTAGAGAAATATGGACTCTTCAGAAGGACACAGTGCAGGAAAATGATGTTTACAGCATTATTCAAAAGAGAAATGATACAAAGAGATGTCATTTCATTAAGAAAGAAATAGTTGTGAAATGTTTTATTCTAGTAAAGCATTCAGATGATTTTGGTCATTTACTATAGATAATGTGGACAGGGGCAATGTGGAGAGGGGCAAGCCCAATGCCCATCATAAAAGGCAAGTCCACGGGACACGTGGGTGGCTTAGTTGGGTAAGCGTCCAACTCTTGATATTGGCTCAGGTCATCATCTTGCAGTTTGTGGGTTTGAGCCCCACATCCGGGGCTTGGGATTCTGTCTTTCTCTCTGTACCTTCCCCACTCACTCTCCCTCTCTCTCTCTCTCTCAAAATAAATAAACTTAAATTTAAAAAAAAAAAAAAGACAAGTCCAAACCTAAAGCAACTGTATGAAGTCATACTCCAAGACTGACCCAAGGGGACCCACCTACAGATGGAGATGGATGCAACCATCGCCACACAGAAGAAGTTTCTAGCAAATCCATTCTCCACTCCTAGCCATATAGGGCTAGAAAGGGGCAAGAATCAGTACTTGAATCCAGGTCTGACTTCAAAGACTGTGCTCTAATATTATACTGTCTTGATGTGGCAGTAGTGGTGATGAGAGGGGCGTGGAGAATGAGATTCATTCTTGCATATCTGGAATCCAAGGAGGCTGTGAAAACGTGTATTCAAACTCAGGGATGGGGAAATCTGGGTTCCTATCCTGCTGCTGCTTCCACTGAGTTGCCTGACCTTGGATGGGTCAATGTACTTTTCCAAGTTCTCTTTCTAAGGTTTCTTTGTCATACAGGTCAACACTGAAGTCTAAAATCTGTGATGGACACAAAAGAATGGTAAGTCCCCTCTGTCCAGAAAAGACGTTACTCATAAGAGTATCAGTGGAATACTGCAGAAATCGGATCAGCCTTCTGGACCATACTTTCTCCAGAGAAAGAGACAGTCATTACTGAAATAAAGCAGGTAGAAGAGAACAGTCTTTCAGCACTTTTTCCCACCTCTCGTTGGGAGCCAAAGATCTTCCCATCAGACTAAATACCTCTGAGAGGCTCAAGGTTCACAGCATGTAAAACCAAAGTTAATTTTGCAATAAGTCTGACAACAAAGTATTAATACAGAAGTAAATCTTGCAGCCTCTTAATCAGATTCTCTTCTTGTCCAAAAATGGGAACCACAGACCCTTAGGAGTTCAAGTCAACCTTAACAGAGATGGTTGTAAAAGAAAGGAGTGATGATCTACACAGGGTCATAAGACAAAATGGGAATCAGAAAATATCCCTCACCATTTCAGGTTAAACTATGGTGGCTAAACAGTAAGATACAGGGGCGCCTGGGTGGCGCAGTCAGTTAAGCGTCCGACTTCAGCCAGGTCACAATCTCGCGGTCTGGGAGTTCGAGCCCCGCGTCAGGCTCTGGGCTGATGGCTCAGAGCCTGGAGCCTGTTTCCGATTCTGTGTCTCCCTCTCTCTCTGCCCCTCCCCCGTTCATGCTCTCTCTCTGTCCCAAAAATAAATAAACGTTGAAAAAAAAAATTAAAAAATAAATAAATAAAAAATAAACAGTAAGATACAGCAAAGGTCCAGACATTTAATAAGAGCAATGAGAAATGTTTCCACCATTTCCTCCAATGCATTCAAAAAGCCTCAGATCAATATGAAACAGGAGGATGAACACCAGGTAGTTATAAATAGACACTATTTGATGATCAAGTGTAATTTTGCACACAGAGAACAAGTCCAAATAATCACTGCCAGAAAGTACTTCTGTATTTCTGATTTACTTTTCGAATGGTTAAAATATGTATAAGAGAAGGAAATTTTAAAAAGCTTTTAATGAACTGGAAACAAACAAGCAAGTCTACCATATGAAATTAATCACGATATTTATAAAAGACTCCCCCAAGCACTTTAAAATGAAAGATGGGAAATCTGAGTTTAATTATATATTTGTAAAGCTATTAGATCTTAAAACTAAAAATTTCAAAGCACCTTTGATGAACAAAGTCCACACACCTATGGGACTCTTTGGAAGCCACTGGTAAGTTCTGCTACCAGGTGGCCTGTTTTGATTCTAAAGAGTGCCAAAGACATAGAACACTTCAGCATCCAGGTTAGTATCAGCAAGTATAGAAGGAAACGCCTCAGAACCTCAGGGGGCTATTTTGTCTCAAAGTTGTTATATTCCATAAGTAAAGGAAAATGCATTTTTAAAACTATATTAATAACACCTTCAATAAAACCAAGGTAAATTATACTTCTGTCCTGATTACTAATAAAGGAGAAAGGCATATGAGAACATTTCATTTCTAAGAAACAAAAAGACCAGGAAGCACCTGTGGCCAATATCAATTGCTAGGATGAAAACTTGGTTCAATTTAAGAGCTAATGCTGCTCTGTTTTCTTCTATGTTTGTAGTATGTATTTGCTCCCAGGACTATTCACCTGCCAGGCACATTACCCGACCAGACTGTAAGTTCTTCAGTGTCTTCAGGAGTCCCTTGTCTTGGGCTCCTACCCACCTGACAGGTGCTTCACTGATGACAAAGCTATGGATGGAGCTCTTTTGATTATGTAGCAGGAAACACCTTACCAGCAGTGTCCTGCCTTCCTTCAAATCAGTGATCCACAATCCTCAGGCATTGCAAACACTTACATAGTAAGCACTATGCTCAGGGGAATATGGCTTCAAGTTATAAAGCAAGATCAGACAGATGAATTGAAAGGGTTGAATGGCCTAGTAGCAAAATGGTGTGAAAATGGCAAGTCAATTTCAGTTACTTTCCTTAACAACTGTCAAAAGAAACATTAGGCTTAAAAAAGAAAAGCCAAGAATTCATTACAGATGGATTTTAAAATAAAAAATAAACAGAAAATATTCATATTGAGGAAAACAATGCATTTTAGCTTATTCCTTTTTCAAGAAAAAAAAAATGACCAATTCAGTCCAATTCCAATAAAGGTAAACTTGGAAGTTTTGTTTCATTTAAAAATTACACTCATTAAAATTTAAAGATACATTTGAACCCTAGGCATGCAGGAAACTGTTGGATACTACTGTATCCAAAAACCAATTTAATGGAAAACCTTAGTCTATGATAAACATAAATAAGTTGCACAGACTAGCAGAATGCCTAACATGTAGGACACACACAATATATATTTGTTGAATTAATGACTATATTTAGATTTGTCATGCTACTATTTCTTTCTCCTTGTTAAACCAAATTCCTAAGCCTTATACATTTTTCTACAATTACCATCTAAAGAGAAGAAAGATGATTGGCATTGAAAACAACTTACAATTTTACAACTTACAATCCGTACTCAACATCTCAAGAAGGTGTTAGCACTTAGAATTCTTCAGCAAATTCTAAGGAATTTTTTCCTTATAACTTAAAACTATAGACTATATAGAATATCTTAACAGCATATGGCCAAGTTTATGTGATCATCTGAGGAGAATAATTCAGTTTCATAAAAAATGCAAATCGAACGGTAGTGCATTAATTCATGCCAACCCTGCTCTCAAGACAGTCACCAGAGACCTCCCACGTGAAATCAATATGCATACATCTATTTAACTTTTATCACTGGCTCACTAAGTAAATATCAGGCTACAGACCACTTAGGTATTCATTATTCACAGGCAAATAGCAAACGTAAAAAGCAGGCTGATCGTGTCAAGTTGTTAACAAATCAATCGATAACTGCTCCCCTGTTTTAGTTTGCTGAACGAGGGCAAAGATGTACAACATCTGGAGCAAACTGTGTAAGTGCTAAGGTACAATCTGTGCACAGCAGAGGGATCTGTATTTATGCTGATGCGGAGACAACCTCTCCAGGAACCCTTAGGTTGTATCTGTTCTTCTCAGGCTTTAATAAGCACCGAAACACATCCACTCTCGGTGCTATTCCTTATACAACAAAAGGGCTGAGATCCCCAAGGACCACAGTAGTGGGAAACGCTACTCCCTTAGCTCCCCAAGGTGTCTGAGATGGAGACAGAATGAAAACACATTTGAGCGCGTTACATGAATGAGGAACAAATGATTTCATCCTCAAACCTCCCAATTCTATGACTTTAGCAGCAAGATTTTTAGCATTTTTTAGGGAACCACATGTTTTCACAGGCAGCTAATCCCTCCCCCAAGAGTGGCCAAGAATGGGTTTCACTTTCGTAAAACAAACAACAACCTCACATTTTTTTTCTTTAAGTGTGAACCCTGATAAACATGATGTTCATAGTGCCAAGCCCCTGGGAATAGCATCCTTTGTACATTAATTTCAGGGTGATCACTACTCCCATCTGTCTCCTGTCACAGACAGTCAATACATCCTACTGTATCTGAGGTCACTTATCCAACTTGTCATCTAAGAGACAGCGAAAATGAAATCAAGAAAAAGAAATTCAGTCACGGGAATAAAGTTGAGCTTCATGACTCCTTCCTCAATTTACACATGATAAAAACCACTGTCTACAAAGCATCATCAATGACAACAGAGCTCAAAAAGCAATGCCCATTTCTTCCTCTCATCCATTCCAAAAATCAGCAGCAAGACTCAACTCAAAACCATACAAATGATGCTCTTAATTATAATTACAAAAATTGAAGGCAATATGAGGTCAAGACAGATCAAACACCCTTTCCACTAACAGCAGGAGGTATATAAAAAAAAAAAAAGGCCCCTTCTCACTTCCTACTCATTTCTGTCACTTGATCTGTGGGGACAACATGACTATTTGTTGTCAAATGCAGAAGTTAACATCGGCATACATGCATATCCCTGCTGGAAGCAAGTCCTGCTGGGTTTTAAATGAACCTGCACTGTATTTACTTATCCTCCTGTCTTATTTCCTAGGTGAAAGGTTTAATTAATACTTCACCCCAGAAACACAAGAAATAGCTTTATTGGGAGTAAAAGTCATAACAGCAATCTATTCATCCTGTGAGCGGCAATTTTCTTGCTACGTTTTCTTTCTCTTCGAGGGAAATCTCAGTCCCCTCCCTCTGCCCCAACGATGAACAGAGAGTCCCCAAAATGATCCACAATGAACAAGAGTTGGAAAACATGCTCTTATTGCCTCTTTTCCCTCTCTCTTCATCTGGGAAGCTCAGGGCACATCTTTATTCCAGAGCACAAATTCAAGCGGGCCCTCACCACCTGAGCAAACCACACTGCCGGGTCCCACCCATTACATTTTTTCTGTTTATCAGGTTAACAGCTAGGGGCACACACAGTCAGGATGTTAGAAGCAAGTTGCAACACGCGTGCTCTGCACCCCACCCCCACCCCAGACAGAAGCTGCACCCACTTCCCGCTGTCTGCCTTCTCCCCCAGACCTTACCCTGCCCAAGAGGTTGTCCTGAAGCAGCGTCTCCTGGAGCACTGGGGCCACCTCCTCCAAGCTCAACATGTGGCAAAGGTCGGTGAGTTCCTCCTGTCCCAAGGACCCGGTGCCTGTCGTGTCAAAACTGTCAAACAGCTCCTTGAGTCGGGCCTCATGCTGGTCCTGCTCCACCTCATCCATCCCATAGCCCACGGCGCTCACCTGTGTGCGACAGAGACAAGGGCGGGTGGTGGCAGCCCGGGAGTCCTATCCCTGCCCTCGCCAGCCCCTTGGAAAGGTTCTGTACGTCCTTGGCCCCTGATGCTGGTCCATGAGGACCTCGGTGGAGGCAGGCAGGAGAGGCGATGCTGCACCCTCACCCCTCACCCCACCCCCAGCAAGACCTCAGGTCTCTCCAGGAGCCAGCCCTGGCCGGCCAGGTGCCCACACAGGCACTCACACCAGGGCCACAGCTACACAGGTCACTCAGGGTAACGTTACCAGAATGAGGGAGTCTCCTCTCCTGCCTGGTCCTTGGGCAGGTGGCCAGTCTCAAACTCAAGACTGAAAGCGCTTCTCTATCAGCTCACGAGCCCCTGGACGTACAGAAGGTGAAAGGCCACTTCTGACACTCCGTCCTTTCAAACTAACTGTTAGCACCAATATAGGCTGCAGGGCCCAAGCTGTGAGGCAAGTTGGCGAGCTCCAGACCACCTGCCCACATGTCGCAAGCCACCGCTGTGGCCACGCTATCTAGTTCCACTTGGCTCAGCCTAGATGCCCCCCATCACAGTTAGCATGGAGGCTTGCAGCAAGAGGCACTAGATGAATATGTCCGATACAACACAAAACCACCTCCCTGTTTACATGAGACACAATGCCTTTTACACAAGTTCCCCCAAAGGCAGTGCAATTAAACTTCACTGGTGCAATTACGTGAGGTGTGACAGGAAGGGTATTCCCTGAAGCTGGCTTTAGTCCCTGGGGGCTTTAGGCAATGCCTAATTGCCTAGAGAAAGGGGAAAACACTATTCCAACCTTTCAGACTATGAGCTTCAGAGGAGCCACAGACCATATGAATCATACAGTGTCTCAGGGAACCTCCATTATCCAGACCACCTCATGTCTGTGCACATGGTTAGTCTGTCTTCCTTCTTTTCAACCCCCAACCCCAGGCTTCCCATTTCTCCACCTTCCATGGGATCAATAAAAACACAGGCTCATGATTAACTCAGAATCACTTCTGCTAAAAACAGACATCATAAAATTCTAGGTACCTCATATTTTAAGAGTGAAATCTGGGGGTTTCTTTGGTTGCGCAAGAATTCATTTTTAATGTGTTGGGTCTTCTGATGAGAGCCTGAAATGCGCACGTCTGAAGCTACCTTCACCATGACGCAACGGAAGCCAAACACAACCTAGACCCCTGAGACAATGACCTCAGCCATCTAAACCAGGCTCTCAGCACCAGCCCCTTGACTATAAAAAGCAGCACTTTCAAAAAATATATTTATCTTGCCCATATATTTTTTTTACTGTGATAAAAAATACATAACGTGAAATCTAACCTAACAAAAATTTATTAACAAAATTTTAAGCGCGCACAACCGTCTTCTTCACTAAACGTGCACTGTTGTACAGCGGATCTCTAGAATGTTTTCATCTTGCGTGACTTTGTACCCACTGTAGAACAACTTCCCATTGCCCCCTGCCCCAGCCCCCGGCAAACATCATCCCAGTTTTCAAAGCAGCACCTTTAACAAAAGCCCTGAGTAAGAAAACTCTCTAACTCACGGGCGATGTGCATATAGCAGATGGGCAACACGGGCGACACACCAGCTCAGGTGTTGAACGTGGCCAGAACTGTAAATGAGAGAGGCTTCCATAACACATCAGTGCTGCTCTAGGCTGTGCTGTTTTCTTCCCACAGGCAGCTGTCCAAAACATTACAAGCTAAAATGCAACCATGACCACCTGGAGTTTCAGCACAATGAGGTAGACTCAAGGTGTTTTCAAACAGCTCGGCCACTACTCAAGGCCACTACTCAGTTCGTACTGGGGCCGCTCATTAAGGCAAAGCAGCACCATTTAGGTCCAGGCTCCTGGTCTCGGGGTCTTTTAATTCTCAGCTTTTCTATTACTAAGGTGCTGTCGGTTCTGGCTGCCTTCCCAGGATTGGTCTGTTGGGTTAACTAATCACCATGCAAATGTTTTCAAAATAAGTTGAGAGTGCGATATAAACATCAGAGCATCAGAAAAGAAACACCAAGGTGTTAAGCGAAGCCACAGAAGTTAGGAATTTAGACAAGACCAATGCCTGGCTAATGAGACTCCGTTAGAGTCTGTCAGTTTGTTGTCGCCTAGGATCTGAGACTCCCCAGGGGCCCTGGGATTTTCAAGGTTGCAGTGACTCTCAGACTCACTCTGAATTTTACAGTCCCCTGGGCTCTACATAATCTGACCAACTTCATAAAAGGCAGACAATTCCACTTTTACTTGATTTTGCATATTAAAAAAAAACCCTCAAAAGTGAAAGAATTCAAAAATTTCCCCTTTTTATTTTTAAGGCATGGGGATTGGTTCATTGAGATCAATGAAAGGGGACCATAAAACTCATAATGTACTGAGAAGTCCTGATCTCATCCATGGCTTTGGATTCAATAAGCTATCATGCCCTGCTCTTTGGGAGGTCATTGGATTTTTCACTAAATCAAATCTCTTTCATTTCACAGCACCTTTCCTTATTTATCTCTTTTTTTTTTTCATTTCCCTCCTTCCCAAGACGCTATGCTTTGGAGAACATTCTTTTGACTGGAGGGGGAAAACAGCCTCAACCCTGTGGAACAAATGAGCATACGGAAACATCCAGAAGATGTTACATATGGTGACAAGTTGTCAGTCCTCGTTTGGCACAGAGTGCATTCTTTTTTTCTGGTTGATATTATTCCCCAAATGTTCGTGAGTAATTTCATGTGCAAGAATTTTTTTTTCTCCCTGCTTGGCATAAATTTCCGTAAGGACAAGGTCCACAACTTATTTCTTTTATATCCTCCCCCAAATGCATAGCACAGTCTGTTCCTCACACCAGACACTGACTCAGTGTAGGGAGATTCCATGAGTGGAACCTTACCCTGAATGAGTGATGAAATGAGCCTATGAAGATTCTGAAATGCCCTTTCTTCCACAAGCACACCTCTCCTTCCCCCATCTGACCCCTTTTGTCAAAGGCATTTTCCATCTTGGATATCACTAAGCAGAACCAGAAAGCCAGAACCCACTGCCAACCTGTAGCATCTAGAACTGTCCGGAGTTTGATTAAGGAGTTAGTAATTAAACCAATGGATTCATAAACTTCGGCTGTAATTTTTTTTTTTTTTTTTTGAGAGGGGTGGTTATAGGATGTGACTTTGGAAGAGAATCTGTACTAAACCACTGTCCCAAGTCCCCTTGTTTATAGAATGGGAATAATAATACCCATCTGGAAGGGCTGTCCCGAGGGTTAAAGATGGCAAGCAAGTGAGAGGATGACCCCAGAAAAAGTTGATACAAGAGGGGAATTGAGACAACCACCAAGAAGATACTTGTGACTGACAAAGGCAGGGTGAACTGAAGTCAAGCAGCCCTAGATCTGCTTTCAGAGAAGCAAAGCGGGAGCTGCGGAATGCCATTGGGAGAGCAAGAAAGCACAGGCCAGGTATTATGTATACAAACGCTGTTATATCACTAAATGGTCAATGGTGGCAGGTAAGGCTCAGGGCTTCTTCCACTTTTAAAGGCAGATTATTGATAAATTTAACATCAATCAAAAGGAGAAAGGCTGAAATATTGTTGGGAGTTAAGAAGAAACTTTTATTTTTTTTTTAACTCCTGAACATCTACCTAAGTCTGGCCTATGTTGAGTACTTTACATAAATGATCTCATTTAATCCTTCTAATTCTTTAAAGTAGACACCATATTCCCATTTAAGATGCAGAAATTGGGGCTTGGCAAAATTAAGCAACTTCTCCAAGGATACGGTGCTAATATGGGGATGAAGTGGAGATCAGAACTCTGGTCTGACTCTAAATTATACTATCTCTCAGTCCTGTGGATGCACACAGAACACATGAACAGGACATCACTGGCAAATCACTTATCTCCACCTTTCTGTGTTAATCAGCTAACCACTAAAGTCCCAGAAACCACCGCGAAAACCTGATGGCCACAAACCCCTCCAAGTTGGAGTGGGGAAGGATGGGGTTTCTTCCTCCCTACCTCTCTTAATCCACTTACTGAATAATTACAAGGCACTAGAGAGGTATGGAATGAGCATTCTCTTTTTTCCAAAGCAGTTTTGGGATTTAGGGCAAAGAAGAAATAAAATTTTGTATAAAAATGACCACGGAGAGTTCCATATCTTCAACAGTGGGCACAGTACAGAAATTGATAATTGTTAAATTACTTCCTCAAAATGCTTAAGTATGTCTGGTCTGTGCAATCAATGCTTTCCATAGTTTAAGTCTACCTATACCCACCAGTGACAGAAATCTTACTCAGAGATGCGGAGAGCTGGGCTTTGAGTAATAAACCCTCCTTCAAATTGCCAAGAATAACTCCAGTTTCATAAAGCCTCCCACAGGTCGTGGCCCCTCTTCGCCATCTACTTTCCCAATCAAATTGACAGAAGCCTTTACAATTCCTTTGGAAAAGAACGGTCGGTGCAAGCAATATTTTGGAGTTTTAACTAAGGATGGTTAAATAAGAGGCAAATGCACCGAGCCATTAATCACAACATTTACCACCCAATAACCACCCATAATGAGAACTATTTGGAACAGTTTCCTTCCAAATAACTCCAAACAAGGCTGCCAAAATGTGCAGACCCTGACGGGTATGGCCATTACCGATCTGTGTCCTTGCGCTCCACTTGGCAACCCCGGCTGATGAAATCAGGGCCAACTGGGCCTGGAAAAGACATAGGTGGAGGTCCAGCTGGAATAATGAAGTCCCCAACATAAGGCCAACATGAAGTGGATACATGAACTTATGAACTTTCCAGCATCCAAGGTACACAGAAAGGAGCTTGTAAGAATGGCACCCCAGCCAAAGGGGACGTCTGTTCTGGGCCAGAGGGAGTGAAAAAGGGACAAAGTCTGGCAAGGGAAAACCAAATAATAAATGAGCACAATGCCAGAGCCCCTCGCCCAGGCCTTTTATTTCCCTCCAGATGGTCCAGCAGCTGAACAGCTATGTGGAATGTCTGGAGGCCCCTCCTGGCTCGGCCGCTTTCCTTAGGTATCATAATAGATGCTTTCAGATTTGTGTTCAGACATAGCTGTTGGGGGTCCGCGGACCAGGCAGTGGCCACCAAGTGACTAATTTAGTTACTTTATAACCAAAATGGTGAACATGGACAAATCCTGCTTAGAGAAAGCTTTTCATTCATGCCTTTAAGTTTTCACCATTTGGCAAGTCAGAGTCTCATAATGCCAATGATCAAATTAAAATGTTTCTTCTTCCCTCTTTTCTGCAAACACTTTAATTGCAAAGATCTCCAGCCTTAACATTTTGGACTCATTTCAGTATAAAATGAAATAGTGACAAGAATAAATTCAAGTTCAGGAAGAG